GGCTTTGTCCAGCAGAGGAAAAGGTGATAAATTTTCTAATACTTTGTTTGAGTAGTATTAAACGTCTATATAACACAATTTTTATTTGAATAAGCTAGCATAATTATTTGCAGTCACTTGGTTGATAATTTTTAGATGATTTTTTTTTAAACCACCTAAATATCGACATGCTTCATTCCGCATTATAATTGACTGGTGTACACATGTCAATTCAAAAGCTGTCCGCCTTACAATGAGGTCGACAATCAAACGACCCTTTTATTTAAAGTTTAAAATAAATCACCAAAGTTTATGGACAACTAAAGCCATTAAGCTTTTAAAATATAAATACTTGCGATGCTCTCTCGATCTATTGACCACTAAATTGTAGTTACACCTAGCACATCAAGCAATGCAATTTATGTCACTAATATAAGCTTCAAATTTTGAAATTTAGTGACGAACAATAACGTAAATTATAATTTCAACCTACCAATACGATATATAATAAGTTTACACCGTCTATGATGTATATTATATTCAAGCCAATCCACCTAAAGTATTTTTTACAAACATCCTTAAGGTCACCGACATCAATGAGAATAGGAAACGTTAATAAAAATGAAAATGTTCAAGTATATTAATGAATCCTAATTAGCATAAAAAAGATACAAAATTATTGCTTTATAAAAAAAATCAATAAGATACTTAAAGCGCCACCAAGCGGACGCTTGCAGAACCATTACGAGTCTAAGTCGCATTTAAATAGTTCGCGCATAAAATAATAGATGGCGCTATATGTAACTTTAAAAACTGAATAACATTATTAAGTTGTAGTCCATGCTGCCTTATTTTCCGTGTTCATAGACAAAAGTGAAAATTGGATGAGTTCGTGAAAAAATCTAGGAAGAATAAAGATGATTACTTAACAATTCTAAGGATACGTTCTTGGTACTGCAGGATCTATTTTATATCAATATTAAAAGGGCGCATAGTTACATTTCATACGCTTTGTTTTCGACTGCAAATATTAAAAATGGAAAATGATTTCCTCTAACAGGTAAGCTCAAGGTTTATAATGATACACAGTTATTTTTAATTAACTTATTTCTGTCGTTAAACATAGACTTTTGATATTATAAATGGTTTTTGTGAACTCATACAAACTATAATAATTAACTTCACATACCTACCAAGATGGTACAAACAGAATAATTTATGAATACGCGAAAGTTGAATGAATGTATGGGCGTATGTTACGCTCAAGTTAGAATGGTTAGATGAATTTGAATGGGAGGTTGATTTTCTCTTTATGCCGTGAATTATTCCAAAGCGATTAATGCAAGGGGGTAAAACCATCTGCGTAAACCCCGGGCAGGGTAATAAATTATCTTTAGGGATATTTCTTTTCACATAATTAGTATAAAACCAAATACTCAAAAATTGTATATACTAATGTAAATATATATACTAATATAATGATATATGGTGATTTTAGAGTTAAGAAAATACTGAATGAAATTGCGAATAATGGATTTTTTTTATTTATGTATAATATTTAGTTATCCTTTTATAAACGATAATATAAATTTATTGGTTCCATTCAGTAATTTTTCAACATTCAAATCGAGTTTTCTCAAGTCCTCCATTTTTGAGTTACAACAGTATTTGGTTCCGTGTGCGATATAGGAGTGATTGTGATCTTAACGCCCTTTTGTGCCCTTTGCTCTTTAATGGGGGGCAAATGGCAAGAGATGTCAAAACAAAATGTTTAATTTAGACCATTTCAACACGCAATTGCCCCATAGATGCCTTTAATTAAGGGTGATTATTTTATGCAACAAATAGAGGAACTTCGAACACAATCAATTAAGCGAAGCTCTTTACTAAAATAAACTAGATGGAAACGAAGTCACGCGTGGCAACTAGTGTAAAATAAAAACAAAATCATCTACATTCTCGATCTCGCGACAAAATCAAACAGGTAACCGTCTGATGCAACATTACCGCTGACCCGGTGACGCAAGAGCCACTTTCGCGTGCCGCCGCCGGCTCGGTTCCACTGCCTCGTAACCTACATGCCATGTGTACTTGTATGCGATTTACGACCTTATTAGGAAAGGATGTCTGTTAAAAAATTGTAATCCTTACGTAAAAAACTATATAGGATTTTAACAAAGTTGTAATGAGAACTGAGGTCATAGTCGACTTGTTGTTGACATCACCATGTAGCATGTTTCTGAGTTATCTAGGATTCTAACGTAAAAAAACTTTATTTTCCTGCAAAAACTTTGTTTTTATGACCAGGACAACATACCATTAAAGAAGTGTACAAATTTTTGGATTTCTCTTTATTTAAAGACCTAATTATTAATTATACCTTTTTCATAAAAAAAAACTAACTTCAAAAGTTTGTGGAATTACGTCTATTTGCCAAGTTTTATTGCAAACGGTTAAGGGAAAATGGTTGAAATGTAATAAACTTAATTTTCTACCCTTACAGGTTGAATATTTTCTTCAAACTCAAATGGGACCAATACTGGGGTATCTTTCCAACATAAAATAATCAACAAAACCGGAGTAATCTCGCAACATACACACAAAAAATACAGTCGTATTGAAAACCTCCTCCTTTTTGAAGTCTGTTAAAAAGGAACATTATATTTCAAATCAATAGTATATTTCTACTAAAGTTCTATGAAATTATGGCAATTAGAGCGTTTTCGTACTACGTCCGATTCGTGTCAGCCCAGCGGCTTGTTTTGATTACCTTTCCAGATCGGAAACTGCGTCTCTCCGAGTCGAGGCGCATAATTGCGATTCACAACTGGCAGATATAAAACTTTTGACATTTCAAATCGAAATAATAGTTCATTCAACTCACAAATTAGATAGATATAGTGGAAATCAGGTTCATCTTCTCATAATTGTTTTGGACGCACGTCAAATGGAGACTCCCAGTTCCGAATTGGAGAAATGACGGTACGAAATCATTTCTCTAGGTGTACGTACAGGCGATACTCCTATTTTGTCGGTTTCGCATCGGGCTTAGTGCACTAGCGGCATCCGAAGTGGGTCCGAGTTCTCTAGATTTGTATAGCCTCGGATTCGGAACAAATACGAATAGGATGCAGCGTGCAAACGCGCTATGAACGGAGAAATGTCTAGATTTGCGGGATTATGTGTACCACTGCAACAGCCACGAAAGCCCAAACACAAGAGACCTATTGTACACTGTTGAGGAGTCTTCTCATCTTTCTGCCATTTCCGTCATTAGCGAAGCTCTAGGTCACCATATCATTTTATTTTCATTGAGAATTGGAAAAAATTCAATAAACCAGATTCATCCTCTTACTTGCCACCTTTAGAGGTGGATTATTTTCTTCAAATTTGAATTGGACTACTATTGAGGTACTGCCTTCGGGGTCGAACGGTTACCATGTTAATCAACCACGCAAAGGTCCTGGTTCAATTCCCGGGCCGAGAGAAAAATTTGTATGGTCTACATTTATTTCTCTCGTGAGTTTGGCTGTAATTTGTGTATGTCTATGTGTGTGTCCATGACACTTGCGACCCTTTATTTTTTCGCGATACATGATTTCCTTATTGCGGGGCTATGAGTGTGTACCTTAGACTATGGAAATTATTTTTTTCCATTGTTTATGATGAGTACGTTATTTATTATTTATTAATAGACAAATTATACACAAAAGTTAGAGTGTCATTGCCAGTAACATGATGTGTCAAAGTGAAAAACGTTAATGGTTTGAAAAATACATATACATATATTTATGCGATTTAAAGACGAAGAAAAGATAGTCTCATTTCCAATTTGTATTCTTGTTATTAGCCTAACTATATGACACTTGGCCTAACCCCCTCCCATTCCCTCTTCCCCCTCACTTAGGAGAGACGCGTATCCAGAAAAGCGTTGTATCAAACGAATATGGTTTGACACATATCCCATACAAAAATTCGTGCCATACATAAGACATCAACGAGTTAAATATGTCGATAAAATTTCCACCACTAGCTCTTGGATTTATTTTTTTCTGGAATTTTTTCTCGCAATAAACAAGATTGCATTCAGAAGTGTCTTAATGAAAATAAGAAATATAAATACTATGTCGATATAGAATGTAAATAAATTGGTTGGCGTTCTTGTAGGGAATGTACTTTCAGTGCTAAAAATATGACGATATTTACATTATTATGCTAAGTAAACCAGCAAGAAGAACCTTGTCCTTGCAGAAAGGACTCGTGCTCACCAAAAGGACAAATATGACTTGATATGAACCTGTTTCAATACTGGTGTAGACGTTTGCGATGCCGAGAAAGAACCCATGTAGTAACAACACCCGCTATCGTATAATAGCGCAGTCCCATTATATCGTGACGAAAGACGGTCGTGTAGTATAAAGTGTCGTGGCTTGTAAATTTAAATGAAGTTGTTCACATATAAAACAACACGATTAACTGACGTTACAACGACAGACTGTCGTGGCAATGGGAAGAGCTGGAACGACAGTCGTCTGTAATCGCAATTTCAAACGATTCTGTAGTGCAAACGACAAGGCGACTGCCATGAACGATCAGACACGACAGTCGATTATCTTTGTGAAAATACTGCACTAGTTATTATAATAACAATATTACTATCATGCCTGACAGACGCTGGTTCCAATCCGGGTCAAAGAAATTTTTCTTTGTGTTAGTCCAATTTTTGGATTGATAATAAAAATATGTATTAATGAATGAACGAAATGTTCTTTTATTAAAATTACAGTGACACAAAACAGTAATGTAAGCATCGGATATACGTATATGCTCAATTAATGTAAGTTAATTAGAATTATTGCTAAGTAAGAATATTATTGCAATTTTTTTACAACTTTTCCTATGTTTTATTAAATAATTACAAATATAAATAAATATCATGTTATGTGTATTATCATGATATAATATTTAACTTTTAAAACATATAACATTTCTGAAGTTTGTAGATAGAAGAAAATACTCACCCCACTGTCGTCCAGCTAAACATTCGCTTCACCCTCTCCTTCTGTAGATCTGGAGCAGCCATTCTTGCTGAAACAATACAAAAAACACATTCAAAACTTATTTCAAGACATACTTGTGAGCATTTTACTTTCTGGGGTTAAAGGTCACGAATGCTGGTAAATCAGGCACATGGGACTTGGCAAATTTATGTCTCAATGTGACGGACACAGTGGCAGTGCTCTTCAGATCCGTGCGATTTAAAGCTCTGAGTGGCGTTGCAAATTATGGACAGACTTGTCGCTTACCTCCAGACAAACGTCTTGTTCGTCCCATCACTTGACGTCATGAAAAAATATCCACAGAAACTTGTATTGTAACTATTTCTATCACCGTGTTCTTTATGCATAGTCTTATATTGCATATCATATAATTACATGTATAAATTGTGAATAAATGACATTTTTTAACACTTCATCACTAGTTTGTTTATTGTGTAGTCTTTTTATGTATTTAGTACTTGTTGGCTGTTTTAAATAAATAAATAAATATAGCACAGAAACTTCGAAAGAGGAAATCAGATTTTCGGATTTTGCACGCTCCATGATCACGGGTGACTGGCAAACGGCAGCAACATATCAGTCTGCACTCTTTTGTTGTCGACAACTACCCTCACCGGCAATTCTTGTGGTGTTACTTTTGTAACTCTCGCGCTTACTTCATATGCGTAATGGAGGAACTCGGTTGTATATCGCTGGATATTATAATTATAATAATCAATCTATTTATAAATTATTCACCGACGTCAACGTGCGCGTTGCGAAGTAAGTGGAAATGTTGCTCAATTCCCCTACACTAACGTCGCTTTTTAACACTGTAATCTACTAGTAAGTCAACTTGAGCAACAGCGTGTTTACACATGGTCGATTGCCACCTTCGGCACAATATTTCGTCTTGCCGAAAGAGGCGCAGTCAACTCTCTGTTTACACCGTGGTGTGACGCGGCTGCCAATACGCTGAAACTTGTTTACTCGATAGTCGCTTTCGGAAGACGACCAAGTACCCTGACAGTGTTTACACCTAGTCGAATCGTTCGACTTAGTGTCTACGGGCGAGCGAAGGTGAGAAGACTGATCTCGCCATTATAACTCATAATATTGGGAAAAGATTTAGAGTTTTACCTTGATAAGAAATCTGTACTATACTAAATCTGTATTTAACTACCTCCATGGCCGAACGGTTATGGTGGACTGCCACGCAGAGGACCCGGGTTCGATTCTCAGGCCGGGAGAAATATTTGTACAGTCTACATTTATTTATCTCGCCAGTTTGGGTGAAATGTGTGGTGGTATTGGCAAAGACAAAGCCATCTCTAAAAAATCATACACATATAACTTCGAACCGACCTTATTTTAAACAATGTAGAGTTGCATTTAAATATTGATAAAGTTTAGCATACTGTGTGTTGACATAAGAAATTAGAGATGCTTCCATCTCTGCTTTCAAATTGCAAATATTCAGCTTAAAAACAACATGATGTAGAGAAGAAATATATGTATTTTTGACAGCAATAAGCAACTCCACGTCGTTGAAGTCTTTTGCATAGTAACACCTTTTTGCATCTTTATCAAATCCGGGTAAATTTACCAAGTAATTTCATGGAGACCGTTTTATATCAAATGAAACCGTAAAATAAATACCTACATATCGACTGTGAACTGGCAACCGGTACTATCTGAATTTTCTAAAGATTTCATTTTTTAACATCACTTTATACTATTTCATACTCCGCAGCGTTGCAAGAAATTCCATTGTTTTTAAAAACACGTGTCATAAAAATATTTAAAAAACTACGTATTTTTATTTAATAAAGCAGATGCTACATAAATGACGCAAACAAGTTTTTTCTTCATAGTGTAAATTTGTCAAAATTGAGATAGTACCGGTTGCCTGGTCACAGTTGATGCGCTATCTTTAAGCACTTAACTAAGCCTCGACTTACTCTACAAACAAGCAAATACATAATATATATTCCCTGTACTATGACTCCCAGAGTAACTGAATTATCCAATGCAATTCAAACACTCAGAGCAGAACCAAGAAAAGTTTATTTCCGAAAATGGTTCTAACACTAATGAAAATAATATCGTCTAAGTAGTTATTCAAATTAGATCACTTGCAGGTCGTCCTATCTGTGATATTTGGAATAAATATTGTGAATGAAAAATGTGTGCGAATATTTATTTACAAAGAATTACTATTTACAAAGAATTACCCTAGAGCATTATACTCATTTTTAACAGGAGAATCTGCCTTACAAGAAAGAAGTAAAGTTCAATCGATGTGACGATATCAAAAATGTAATTTGATTACATAAGAAATAAAGGATTCAATTATATGAATAAAATTGCGACAAGGTGCCCAAGATGCTTACTACGTTCCCCCTGTGTAAGGCTATATTAATGCGTTGGGTAAGGTAGCTGCCGGCCCTTGGGTTTAACAGTCTATTTTGGATAAAATTTTTAACAGATGAAGGGCAGCGGGACCTCACAGACAGTCGGAGGTCGTGGTAACTTATTACTTTTTAGCCTTACTGCTGCTGTGCTGGAGACGGGATGGGGCAGTTTGAGTTTCAGCTATCTATTAAATAACAAAAAGCCCGCGACACGAACTATATATATATATATATTTTGATATATATATATCAAAACTTTAATCACTGAAATATAATATAAGTGCTATAAGACATGTTTACTTTATTATTTCCTTTACTAAAATTTATATTTGCTCAATAAATATTCATACTTTAAACAAAAACGACAAAAGTAGTCAAAAAGTACCTTCCGGTTATGCTCGACTTGTTGGTTAAGATTGAATTATGGATAATTTTATGTTGAACTTTATATAGGACTGGCAAATCTGGTAACTGCAGCTCCTCGTGAACGAGTTCGTCCAGGGTGACGGGTGGCAGTGTCCCTCTGATCTTTGCGATTTCAAGTTCGAGTCCCAGTTCCAGGGAAGTACATTACCTATTTCTGCATTCACGTTTTGTAGGGTGCTGGTAAAATTAGAGGCTCATGGGTCTTATCAACTAATTTCTCAGGGTTATGGGCGCAGCGGCAGTGCCTCTTATATCTTTGCGCTTTAAAGCTCTGAGTGGCACTGCAACTGCTATGGACAGGCGTGTCGCTTACCATCAGGCGCACGACCTGTTCGTCCCGTATCTTGGTATATATAAAAAAATACTTTTATACCATACCCAAAAATTAACTGACTGTAAACCAGCCATGATCACCGGACCCGTGAAGGGTCCGAAACGTTGCCTTATTTGAAAAAATAATACGCGATTAAGAGTGAATACTACCTCAGCTCGAATTAATTCCATTGTTATGCGAAATCAACCAAAGCCATTTGCGGTTGTAATGACACTTAAGATCCGGAAAGTTACATTTTCTATGTGCATCAATATAGCAAAAACCAAAAAAACTCGATTTTATTCCATACTGCCTACTAATGTTCAATAGCTTCTTGTCGATGTCCTTCACAAACTAATTGAATTCTCTCATGTTTTAACGTCATAGAATAATTACATGTTCACTGTTATATAATTTATTATTTATATTAATCTCTGCGTATACAAAAAATCCAACCCAATTACAAAAATACTGGTAAAAAAATATAGAAATAATATGTTAATACATTTCTGGGAATCTTAAATATTTTATAAGATTTACTTTTATCGTTGACGTTGTATAATTTTTTTTTAAATTTATCTTGTCAATGTTGAATTCAATACTAGAATCACTACTTCAAAACTAAAACTTACGAAGCTTCTCTTCCTCTGTTTCTCTTGTCATTTCTTTGTGGGTTCTGTGACCTTTCTTGACACAGACCTGTTTTGTAAGTATGTCTGGCCAGTTCAGCATTAAAAGACAAGGTCAGGCATATACTGCCTTGTGGTGTCGATATTTCTTTTATTTAAAATTTATACAGATATGGACACTTTGCTTCTGATAATATTGTTGGACTTTTTTGTGTATTGATACCGATCTTAATTTTTTTATACAGGGTAATCATAAAGTGTGTCCAAGCGATTATTCCGTAAATATAAAATACATTGAAAACCTTTAAACTGATATCGAATGTGCGTTACCTAATGAAGAAAACGACATCAATAACTTTTCAAAAATAAAACTAGATGTATCCAACATTTTAACGTTAATCGCTCCCAATAACTACTTTGAATGTAAATTTTTGTACTTAATTCAAAAAAACATCACTTTGTTTTTATTCAATTAAAATATAGTTTTATTACTTTATATTTCTGACAGTTTCGTTATTTGTAAACTTTCCTTACCTCTTCAAGTAGGTCTATTAAATCGTCTTTACGACTGTCATATTAAATATATGGGAGCGTTTAATCGACGACATGATTACTTAATCTACTTAGTAGCAGAAGTAGTAGAGCTCCTTGCGAAAGAGTTGGTCCAGAGAAGCCACCACCTTACCTATTTCGGCCACTAGGAAGTAATGTCAGGATTACTGTGTTCCGGTTTTGAAGGGTAATAACAGTGCTGGTGAAATTACAGGCACATGGGACTTGTCAACTTATGTCAGCACTGCAACTGTTATGGATAGACTTGTATCTTATCATCAGGCGCACGACTTGATGATATTAAATATTAAAAATAAACGTTTTTAATACCTCTTATACTGGGCACACTTAATTATTACACCCTATATAGATTTTTACGAGAGATATAAAATAATATAGACAAGAATTTATGACAAAGTAAACAGCATACATAGTGAACAAGCATGTACTGGGGCCGAGCAATATTTACCCATGGTTAAAGAAGCAACCTTGGTAGTTGTGAAACACGTCACTGTGTGAACATACGTTGGCCGCTTCAACAACCTGCTTCGAAAGGTCATAGGTTGGTCACTTTTCTTATAATTTCTTAATGATTGTGAAAATGCAAATCATAGCAACTTTATATCACGAGACAGAGTTCCCTATATAATAGAAAATATGTTTTAAGGCGACGTGCTCTGTTTTAGTTGATTTGTAAAAGTCTCCGAAGAACC